AAACAAACATCAGGAGTTATTTCCCACCCTCATTCCCAGATTCCCCCTCTGTTTTCCCAACTTTGATGGATAAAACCGACTCTAAAGAGCTTTACGGTCGTCGCTGCGTGACCACGGACCTGTGATGGGGGTGCCCGGGAGCTGGGCGGGCGCGGAGAGCGAAGACGGCCGCTCTCCGGAAGGACAAACCGGAGCGGAAGATTTTCCTCCGGGAGGTGGTGGGAGCAAGCTCAGGCCCCCAAGACCCACGGGACGCGGTCTGGTGTTCCCCGTTGCTCCTTCTTTTTTCTTCATGTTCTGAAAGAAGAGACGGAAATTTGGGTGGTATCACGTTTAAATCCCGAGCCGGAGGCGGGATTCCTCCCAGCCACAGCTCGCACGAAGCCAAATCGCTTTATTCTGGGGAAAAAAAAAAACCAAACCCCGCTGTGCTGCGACGTCCCACTGCTGGAGGAGCAAGAGGGGTCAAACCAAGGATGTTTTTTACCCGCAAATCCCCACCACGAACCCACAGACCCGGTTCCGTAACCGGGAACTGTAACACAACCCCCCCTGCAAATCACTGCACGCGGCGTTATCACGAAGGGCTCTGCACCGGGATTTCGGGGCGAAGCCACCGCTTCCTCTTGTGCCACCCAAGGGAAAAAGTCGGGAGCGGATTTAGCCGGAAAAAGCCCCTCACCGCAATGTTGAGTTTGATGGTTTGCCCCTCCTTGAAGCCCAGATCCAGTTTGGGTCCCTGATCGGGGTTCTCGGCCTGTCTGGCCAGCTCGCTCTGCTGCCTCACCCACCTGCAGGAATTACACGAGCAGAAAAGGACACGTCAACGACCAGCCTGAGGCTCTCCCGGACAAATCCTGCCCGAGATCATCCCCTCCGCCTGGCAGCAGCTCTTTAAAGGCGCTGGATGCGATCCGAGACCTCGCCTGACGGAGTGACAGGGTACGGGCAGCGCCAGGGGAACGATTCCCACCAGCGGCCGCCAGCGCTCAGATCCCCCAGCCAGCAGCACATCCCATCCTGCCCCAAAGCCCCACCGTCTGCCAGCAGCTGGAGCAGCATCCCCGTCCCCCGGGAGCAGCCCCTTACCGGCGGCACGTGAAGAGAAGGAATTAGGGAATTTGCCCAATTTCAGACTGGGAAGCCCAGTTTGGGATCCCAGTAAGACAGGCTAGGAAATATTTGAGAGAAGGAGAGCTGCCTGCGCAAAGGCTGAGCAGAGAAACAGGCATTTCCACCCCTTTACGCCCCGCTCGCCCGCTCAAGCGCGACAGGAGCTCACAGCTTCCTCTCCCCCACCGTTTCTGGCGGAAATCCGCAAAAAGAGTCAAGCTGAGAGGACACAGGGAGAGGCACGAACTCACTTAAAATGGTCTTGGAGAGCCACGTTGAAGTCAAAAGCATCCCCTCGGTCGACAAAGCCGACTCCGATGAAAGCTCGGCGGCCTGGGGAAGGAGGAAGAGCAGGGGCTGGAATCGCAAAGCAGCGGAGGAAGAGGGAGGGGATACCCCGTCCCGCACACCCCCGTGCCCGCCGCCTCCTCCAGCTGGAGCTGGGACTCCGGAGCCTGAGATCTGGGACTGGAGGTATCTTTAGCTTGCCGGTTGCACGTACAGGCTTAGTAAAACCGGCTTTTGAATTAATATAAGCGAGTCGAAGCAGAGGTTGGCATCACGGTGATGATCCTGCACGCAGAGGCGTCCTCACGCTAACGCCGAGCAGCAAAATTAAACCGGTTTTATTCCTGGTGAAGGACAGAGCGCGGCTGGCGCGTGGGAGCGAGATAATTCGCCTCTGCCACCGTCTGCAGAGAATATTTAGCCCTTGAAAGGCGGAATCCTTCACAAACAAGAGCAGCGAGGGCACTGAAGGCTGTCTGAGGTGATTCCCCCAACCTGTCCCCCACGCATCGCGACGTACCGTTCCCGTCTTCGATCCGGATGACGAAATATCTGCTGGAGTCCGTCACGCTCTCCACAGCGATGCCAGGGAACTGCTCCACCGGCGCCTGGGCAAAAAGTTCCCCTGAAAAAGAGAAACGGGAGCAGGTTAATGCCAGGGCGTAGCGTCTTCCTCCCCACGGAGAGGCGCGGAGCCGTCGCCTTCCCTCCTCCTCCTCCTCCTTACCCGAGGTCTTGTCCTCCAGCTTAATGAACGCGATCTTGCCCTTGGCCGTGATCCGCAGCCTGCCGCTCCACGCCGGCTGGGCCAGCGGCCC